CATTAGCACCTCTAGTAATATATTTACTGAGAAAAATGTTGACGTGTTCAATACTTATTTTACCCGCTGTATTTATTACAGTAATTTCACCAGTGTGTAAAAGTACTTTTACTTTCCCGATTTTTTTTTGTGAGCAGTTTTATGACTTTTACTGAAGTACTTTTCTTATCGGTGAAAGACATTTTAAATAAAGTCGTTTTCTGTTATTATATTTTCTGTTATTACTCTGTTATTATATAGTATTTTTACTTTCACTTAGTTATTTTTTCAAGTTCTTTAAACAAGAGGTTCTCAAATTGGGGTCCCAGGACCCCCAGGGGTCCGCGAGAGGTATCTTGGGGGCTCTCAAAATGTCACTAAATTGTTTTAGTTTTTATTTTTAAAAATGCATGGAGAACAATGAACTAATAAAACAAACATAATAATCTTAATAAAAATATATATTTCCATGGTATTTAGGGGTTGAAATGACAATAAATTATCTTTTAAAACAGCATGGGGTTCATGAGGGGGGGTCCCTGGAATTTTTTTCACCCTTGTAAGGGGTCCCCAGACCCAAATGGCTTGAGAACGCGTGCTTTAGACCTCTGACAAAAACATTGTATTAATTTATAAACTGACTCTAGAGACACGGCTGCTTAAAATTATCTCATGGCCACACTTTAATATTTTTTTATTGATCCARTTTCACCAGACAGGCTATGAAGGATCGTTTGCGGTTTGTTTTCCAGAACAACTTCTAACTTTGGCTTCCATATTCATTGTGTTATATCAGAGTCAGGCTGTTGCTTCAGTCTAAATTTTATTTTCTAACAACTAATTCTGCTTGTCAAGGAAATAGAACATGAAGGAAAGTATTYATCCTGTGAATGAATCACACTTTCCTGAGTTCATTTTGKTTCTAAAAGATGAATGGTGCTTTCTTCCTTACAAACATTAACTGGCAGTGAGCTTAACAGTGAGATTTGTATTTATGTTTCACATTTTAATCTGTACTCCCTCCTCTGTGTGTGTGTGTGTGTGTGTGTGTGTGTGTGTGTGTGTGTGTGTGTGTGTGTGTG